CCCTTAACAAAATGAAATATACTTATAATATACTCCGAACATACATGAAGTATACTGCACTGGGTATACTTTAGGTATACTTGATGTATACATTTTGTATACACTTGATGTATACTTTTTGTACTAGTAATTTGGAACACCCCGATGTATACAAAAAGTATACCTCTCCAAGAGGATGTATACTAATGGTATACATGCTTCATACACAGAAAAGACCACAAAAAGTATACTTTTTGTATAACACTTGCAAAAAGTATACAATTTGTACACTTCTAAATTAAGTTGCTGAAACCCATAAATTTCAGTAAGGACAAAGGCATGCATGACCACCCTGGCTCTACATAAATTCACTAAAAAATGTTCAATATTTGCTTGTAACAATAAATTTTATTTGGAGCTTTTTTAACAGTAACAGACGTACAGTATGTCAATAATTTTTAAAACACAATATTATTTTCACTGTAGAAATAGCTTATATATTGTACTTAACATTTAATAAATATTTTTTCATAATTATTTCAAACCCAAAGACTGCTTGCTGAAAAAGGACAATAACCGAATGCCCTAACAAACTTGCAATGAAATTAGTAATCTGAATCAGGCCAACTACTTATCTGTCACAACATTAACTTTTTCTGCGTACATAATTATATTACAGAAGAAAAAAAATTAAGCTTTTCACTCATCCTTCTTTAACTTTCTTGATTCCAAAGCACTCAGCTTGTTTCTTAAAGCCAGCTTCAGAGAGGACTCAGTTGGCGAATGCTTTTGGTATTCTCTCATGACAAATCCTGTAAAGAGGGTCAAAAATCATTACAACATGAGTAGTGAATTTATGGATGGGAAAATTAAAAAAAAGCAGTTTCTGAGAGACTATTAATTTACATAGTCATCATGTTATTGCACACATACCTATAATGCTTTGAAGTATCTCCTTGTCTGGGCATTTCTTTCCATTTGCTCCAGTCAGGTTCATCCCCACCAGCTCGTCGTTTGTGTAAAAACAGTTTAACAAAAACGATGCCGCTGACTTATACGACGCTCTGGCCATTGCTTGGTGAATATGGTTCTGGTACACAAAAACTTGAGAACCAGGAGTCAACTCTACCATCTGTTGGAATTAAGAAGAAAAAACAGCCATGTTATTTTTATGATAGCAATTTTATATAGACATACACACCTGAACAGCCTGTATAATAATTCCACATGTTCTGCCGCATGTCACATTTCAAATGCTCAAAAGACATTGACAACTTTGACACATAACAAGGGCGTGTAAAGAAAGTCAGCTTACAGTTTACCCTTTGGGCAAGTTGTGGCTTGCAGGGACTAGCCCAAGGAAATGCCCCACAAAAGTAAAAGAAAAAAAGGGCAAGGAAAGCAAGAGGTGAGGACGAGGGAAAGTGAAAAAAACAGTCGTGGAGGCAGTGAACTTTTTTACCTGATGCCTGAACTTCAATGCTAAAATTTAGCATCAGAAACTATCAGCATTGTACTTGAATTGTTAGTATGTCTTTCGGGTAGTTCACATCTACATTGTAGATCCTTTTCAGCCTGGTAAGAACCAGAAAAGGTCTTAAATGGCTCGAAAGAGTGGTTTTCTGCTGCATATTATCTGGGAGCAAATGGGTTAAACTGTAAGCCTGACTAGGTCTAGTAGGGTCGAACCTCTTGCAAACATCAAATTAGCCATTGACGACTACATGATTTGCACAAAAACTTTACACTGATTTGTCTACAATAGCATGCACATTCTGTGATTAAAATGGTGAATGAAGTGCTTACCTTAAAGCGTTCTGCTAGAATGGGACTGATCTTTCCAGGTCTTGGAGGATCAGAAACTTAAAAATAATGATAGGAATGACTATAGTTATTAACAAGATCGAAAGTTCACCTTGCATGTAATTATATAGTTTTGTTAGGTTATAATAGTTACGAATAAATACTGCATATTTAACCGAGTTCATTTATTTTTCTGGTACTCAATGATCAATTATCTCCTTCATAAAAATTAAGAACCTACTTAGCCTAAATTGGCAATACGTACCCCAAAATACATGAACCTATTTTGCCAGACTTCAAAAAAGTAGGTTCTTATATGCAGGTGTTTACTGTAATTAGTGGACAAAGACCAGACAGTGGATCGATCGATCCACCACCAAAACAGGGTGCCCCCAAGCAGACTAACTGGATTATGTGCATCCCTTTTTCTAATACCCCTTATTTCTTTTATTCACAACAAGACTGCTTGTTTTCTTTTAACTCTCATTCTTTAATTTTCAGGGATTATCACATAAACTTCCTCATACATACCTTGACCTTGCAAGCTCTTTAATTGATCTTCAAGTTCCCTCACTCTCTTTTTGCGTGTTACGCATGATGGACAATACTCTTCTTCATCTGAACTTGAGAGTGGCTGTGGTAGAACTCGTCTGGGGCATTTACCACCCACAGTTGGTCTGGCTACTAAGTCTTGTCTTCTGTTTGGAAAATTTCTGGGTGTGTTTGTCAGTGGGGTTCTTTGTGCTCCTGAAATGGTGGCTTCTTTCTGTTGATTTGGTATTGACAGTGGCACTTCTGTTAATCTGCCACGCAGAGTTGTCAGAGGAGATCTTGACACTGGTGTGGTGGAATTTGGCATCTGCTGAACTGGTGTTGTGGATACTGGTTCTTCCCACACATCCTGCAGTGTGGTCAGAGAGGTTCTCTGCAGTGATGGAATTGCTGTCTGACAAATAGATGGTGTGGTTGGTGGGTCCTCTGAATTGCCCTGCAGCATGTCCAGTGTCTTTTGAAGCTGTGAGATTGACAACACTCTTTCTGGTGTGGCACTCCGTAACTCATTTACTGTGTTCTGAAGACGATGAACAGGATTTGATGGTGGTGTTGATGAAGTTGTGAGATCCACACACTCTGAGACAACATCGGAATCAAAGGGATCTTCTGCACTTTGATTACTCACCAAAGCAGTCATCCTTTCTAGCAACATGTTATTTCGCTCAGTAAGGGCCTGCCGTTCCTTTTCTCTTTGCTTATTTGCCTGCTCCTTTTCAATTCGCTTTCGCTCCTTTTCTGCTGCATCATCATGATCTTTTCGGGCATTTTTCTTCCTATTTTGACTTTCACTGTCATTTTCTTTGCTTCCTCCAGCTTTCTTTCTGCCCTCAGAGGTCTTGGGTTTTTTTTTGGAAGGTTCATCATCTTTAAGAAATAACAGGATAAAATAATAATGTATAAGAAAAAGGTCTGAATAATTGAGTCTCCCAAAAACAATGAATTTGTAGTAGCTGTAACAAAATACAGCCAAGCCTGTTTATGACAGTCACCCTTGGGAAATGGCCAGGTAACCATTATACAGGTCCACTACACAGACAATATACGGCTAAATTAATATTTGGGAACCTGTCCGGTGACCGTAATACACAGGGTGACCGCTATATACAGGGCGGTTATACAGGTTAAATGTTTTTAGAACTTTGATAATTATTATTTTATTATCTACCTCTGTAAATTGAAATTTAAGGGAACAAGGAGCAACCACCTTCAATAATGTCCTCAGTGACTAGTTTTTTATAACACTTACATGTAGTTCCCTTTTCGCGGTGACTTTAAACCATTATATGCTGTTAGTGTCAAATAACAGCTTACTGTACCTTGACTGGTTTCATATCCATCAAGTCGTTTATTCTTTGTTCTCTTTCTCTGCTTCTTACTGGGGGATGAATTCTGTTCACAGTTTGAACTGTTTTCTTCTGTTCCAGAATTTCCAAGCTCCTTGTCTAAAACACTTCTAGCATCACTCATACTGTCTGAAAAAGGCCAGTTAATAAAAAAAGGGTTAGGACTCTTTTTTGTGTGAGAAAGAACGATTTCTTTACCCCTCTTAGCAGTCATTCATGCAGAGGCAAAATAACAGTCATCACTTTACAACTGTAAATGTATATTTATTATCATTATCAGTAAGTTTTTTTTCTTATGTGGTCCAGAGTTCTGACAGATGCACAAGTACATGCTCATGACAGCTTAAATCACTTGAACTATTAGTCTTACCATGGAGAGAGAGAATTTTTCCCCTCCAAATTTCTCCATCATATTGCATTTCAGCAATGGCCCCAGCTCTTACACTTTCCTTGACAGCTAACTTCTTCACAATAATCGCTTCCAATTCACTTCTTCCATTTGGTCGATTCCATTCAACTACTGCAAAGCCATTTGGTTTCACCTACAAGGGGTAGTTAAAAAAAGTTATGAAAGTATTCTAGCACAATGTAAACAAATTTGCTCTTTCGATGTCAGAGAAAAGCACACACATTTAATAGTTTTGGTAATCTGAGACACCAGTCGTGGGTCCCATTTTTTTGTTTGGAATCATGAATAACAAAAACCTGAGCCTGAAGCTCACAGGAATATGTGCACATGTATGGGAAACTACCTTCCCGGTTAGTTACTTTTGATCCAAGAAATACAAGAAATGGCGGCCCGGTCTCCGTTCACAGTCCCTGTTACCCATGCCGGCAGTCAAGGTAATACAGCGTTGATGCTTGTTAATTTCAAACATGTTTTAAAGGGGGCACAAAAATTTTAGAACACTCACCAAAGTCATTATTTCAAGGAACTGTACTACTTCGACGCAATCGTCAGGGATATATAAGGGTATATATTTTGGTTAACGTTCGCAATATCAATTTTGCCCTCGCCGAGAACGATTAACAAGTAGTAAAAAAGTTGTGAGTTAGTTATACTAAAGAAAGTTAGTTATTAATCGGTGACAGAAACACATGAGCGGTTGTTCAATCAGGCGTTACTTATAGTTTCTGTTGGTGACCAGTGGTGAATATATCAAAGCCTTTTCATAAAAAGACTGAAATCAATGACAAAATTGAAATGCGAGTCATGAACGTGGAAGAACATATTTGCAGAAATTATAAATCACTGAGGTTAAAAGAAAACGACAGGAACCATGGATGTCAAGATTCAAATGATCACGCTTCTACTCCCGATGCTGTGAAAGTCATATCGGGTCGTGATCGACTTGTGACAAGCCGGTCGACTGCGAGAAAGCCAGTAAAAAGTCTAAAACGTTTCAGTTCGTCCTCTGTTAGTATTTTTCCCTTTAAATATCCTTAACTACAGGACGCTCTTTTAGAATTAAAAATGACTACTGAAAATTAATAATTTCTCAAGTCTTTTACACTGGAAGCTTATAAGCTTAAGTATTTATTGGGGTTTACCTCGGTGTAAAAACCTGTGAAACTCACGAGTGACGTAAAACAATGAATACAAAGGAGCCACTGAGAAGTCAACACAATAGAGCCAAGGAAAACAATAGCTAGAAAACAAAGAAAAACTTTACAGGTTTTTACACCGAGGATGAGCATTTATTGTCGCGTTCTTATTTGAAATGCACTAGCTGAGCCCGATCGAGTTGTATCAGTTCCAGTTCGCAGACACAAAGATAAAATGAATTTTACGCTGCGAATGTATCAAAGAAGTTCTAAGAGAACAATTCCCTGGCTTGAACGCTGCATTCGACCTGAATGAAGAAGGTAAACTTTTACCATTTTTTCTCACCGATTTAAGTAGAACCGTTGAGCTTACCTATCACCATAATTGCTATTAAAAAACGAACTAAAACGTGACCTGATTAGGGTTTTTCAGGTTTTTTTATACAGTTTAATGTACTCACCATTTTCCTGGATACTGGATTGCCCGAAAAAGGGGAAGCGACAATAAACGTTCAGTCGAAAAAGAGTCTGATGAACCAAGCAATTCACGTTTCACAGCTACTGAAGTTTCGCGCCAAGATCTAACACATACACCGACAAACGTGCCGCAAAAAATCCCGCCAAAAGGAAAACAAACAGACGCCGACGTATTGAGCATGCGTAATATCTGCCTGGGTCGATCGGCTTTTATACGAACACAACATGGCGACTGGAAATGCAAAAGAAACACGTAACTCTAGAAGTTGTGAAAAAAGAAGAGGTACTTACCTGTCTTATCTGTCACATCCGTCGTTGAAAGTTCCCAGAACGTCAGAGTATCGCCAGAAACTAGCTAAAACTTATGATAGAGAAACGAATGCGGTATCTTGTAGCGACACTGTTGAACATTTTGAGTCAGAGTTCCTGGACTACTCATATGCATCTCAGGGGATCGAAGAATACTCTCTGGAAGACCGTAATAATGTTGATTTGTTGAAAGAAGATGGTCGGCCAGCTGAGGTAGAAAATGACAGAGAAGGCCGCCCAACTAGAGACTCCATCGCTGATGAAATGTTAAAGGGGCTCCTGAACAACACGGCAGTTGAGCAAGACAGCTGTGATGAAATTTCGCAAGTTTTTCCTGAAGATCCAGCGCTTGATACAACGTACGGATCTAGCGAGTTTCATGAGGATTTGAACGAGCAAGATAATGACGTGGATGAACTTTCGGAAGCGGAAGATAGGAATGAAAGCAGCACTCAAGATGACTACGTGAAAATTACTGAGCTATCCTTATCACAAGACACCCCTTTATACGAGGGGTCCCCCGTTACTTTTTCAGTTAGCTTGCTGCTGATTATTAGCTTCGCCATAAGGCATAATTTGAGCGGACTGGCTTTGGCTGACCTTTTGACGTTAATTAACATTCATCTTGTTGTACCCAACTGCTTTGCTAAATCGACAGCTGTTCTCAACCGATTCTTTCGAAAGCTTAAGAAGCCTATCGAGTACCACTATTATTGTTGTTGCTGTTTTGAGTACATTGGGCTTACAAAGACCTCCTGCTGTTCTAACAAGTATTGTCTGGTAGATTTTTCCAAAAAAGGTGCACTGGCCTACTTCATTGTCCTACCCTTAGTCACACAGCTTCAGTCATTGCTGTCAAGTAAGTAGATTATCTGCTAAGGTATAGATCATTCCTTTGGTATCAGGTCACTTCCTTCCAAGTCAGTTCGTTCTAAGTAGATGTCCCACCTGTTACTAAATGATACTAAATAACAAAGAATTTCTCATTATCTTTATCCACTACCATGTTAAGTATCCCCTGTCACTAAATAATGCCCCACATCAAAGGATTTCTCGTTCTTTTGGGTTTACCTCGGTGTAAGAATCGTGCACTTTTTCTTTTCTTTGTACTTCATGTTTTCCCAGGCTCTTTTGATGGAATGAAGTGACTGTAAGGGCCTCCACTGACTAGAAATTTAGTTGTCGACAACGTTTTGTTTTCGACAACTAAATGTTATCAACAACAAAAAAACGCAGTGTGTAAGACGGGTTGTTGACAACTAAATGCTAAATTTTGCTGTTGTTGACAACTTAAACATTGTCATTGTCGCAAAAAAAAAAAAAACGTTTTTGACAACTAAATATCTAGTCTGTAGAGGCCTTAAAGCATTCACTCAATACATGTATTTTAACCATTCATCAAACTGAAACAATGTTACATATGTAACTGGTTGTTATCACTTGTTAATGCATTGACAGTTAACATTAGCAGTTCGTGATCAATAATAGGAAAAATTCCAAGATTTAAATGAAAAAGATTTTTTGCAGTCTTGTTACATGTACATGTATTCAGGAAATATTATCATTTGCCTCAGTCAAACAGAACCTCTGTGTGAAATTTATTTTCTCACTCTTATGTATTGTTTTCAAATATTTGTTTTGTTTCTTAGGGCCAGAAGTACCTGATTTTCTGCAGTATCGTGTCACAAGACAAAAACAAAACTCAGATGCCATTGAAGATATCTTTGATGGACAACTGTATAAGAAGCACTTTGGGGAGGACGGATTTTTTAGGGGTTCATCCACACAGGACAAAAAGACACAGATCCATTTGTCCCTGCAAATAAACACGGATGGAGTTGCAATTTTTAGGTCTTCAAAATTTTCCATATGGCCGGTTTATTTTATTGTCAACGAATTGCCTCCAAATTGCAGGTATGTAATAAAAGCTTGAATTTTTACCCTTGATTAAACATGTGCTGTAAGCGTTTTAAACAGCTTCAAACCTCCTCCCCCCCCCCCAGCCGAGTATTTCATTTCTATAGTATTGCTAAATAATATATAATTTCTCTTTTTTTTTTTGAAGTATTGATTAAAGAATGTCAAACCAAAGTAACCAAAATAACAATGGTTGTAAAGTATAGTCATGTAAATAAATTAATTGTGGAACTGAAGTACACAGTTTAAGCATCTACTTGCCTTCATGATGCCACTACCAAAGAGAAAATTCCACAGTTAATAACCAATAAGAGAAAAGAAATTGTGAGAGAAGAGTATCACTTAATCTAACTGCAACACATCATAATGAGCACTGATAATTTGCAGAATTGCTAACTAGTAAGAATTGTTTGTAACTCATTCTTTGCTTGGTAACTGACCTATCTTGAAATGGACCGCTTTTGCTTTTTTTCTCATTAAAAAAACATATTCACATTTTTTTTTTGTTAAAAAACTTCATTCTTTCCCTTTATTTTCTGTCCCTACAGGCAGCAGAGAAAGTACCGCATGTTTGCTGGGCTTTGGTTCGGTGTCTCCAAGCCACATTTCCAAACATTTATGCAGCCATTCGCAAACTCACTAAATGATTTATTCTTCAAAGGTAAGGTTTATGTTTTTCTACATTCTAATGTACATATATGCACACTGTAGTCACAGCTACTCTCTAGTATACTATTAGTTCAGAATGTTCATAATAAATACATTGTACAACTGTTGCTGTTTGACATAATTATTACTCCCCGAACTATATATAATTTACAAAGGGGGACAAAGGAAATTGAGTCACTATAGAGTGACTCACCGGACAACTTCCCTAAAACTTTGCTTTATATTTTCTGTAAAGGTGACCTGTATATAGTGGTCACCTGTTAGTGTGCGTAACGGATGCAGTCACCCTTTAGACTTAGATGCTATTCATTAACTTCCAGTAGAGTTTAAAGAGAACCTGTATATAACGGCCACTTGGCCATTTCCCAAGGGTGACCGTTATACACAGGTTTAACTTACAACTCTGACTAAAGGAGATTTGGCATAATACATGTAGATACAAATGTGTGCTTTAAATTATTGAAAATTATTTTCAATCATTATTTAGCAGCTACATGTATGT